TTGTATTTTTGTAGTTACCTCCCACCACCTTCTTTGGTTTTTCTCTGATACCGGGAACCGAACTCACGACCTTGCACTTGCCAGGCAGGCGCTTTGCCGCTGAGCTAAATCCCCAGCCCCTTAAAATGAAAATTTTTAAAAGATGACTTCTGAATATACAAGGCGGGGAGTTAAATCTGAGATATTTGTATTTTTGTAGTTACCTCCCACCACCTTCTTCCACGACCACAACATGCAAGTCACAGCACGCTGCTGTGTATCCCCTAAGAAAGCCTCTGATTACGCCACTGCCTCAAACGTTCCTTTCCTCATCTGGACCTTGGCTCATCCCTCCAGGGCCAGACCCAGCAGCACCTTTGGGTTGAAAACCCTCCTGGTGCCCTGGCAGAAATGACGAGCTCCCACCGTGCACCACAGCTTTCTATGGCTCAAATTCTCTCCCATTTACCACATAAAATAAAGCACAATCTCACCCCCTCAGCTTCAGCTCAACAAGGTACTAGTATGTTCTTTTGTACAGAATGGGCATTTAGCCAGCAAATGCGTACACACAGAATAAACTTGTCTGTCCTCAGATGTTTCTTGTAATACAAAGGACATAATTTCCTCTATTTTACTTTATTTTGAGATAGGGTCTTGCTAGGTAGCCCAGGCTGACCTCAAACTCGCAGTGATCCTCCTCCCTTAGCCTCTCCAGTGCTGGGACCATAGTTGTGTGCCACCAAGCCTGACTCTTCCTATTTTAAACAGTAGACTATGGACTAAGAAAGAAATATCTGACTTTCCCTACAATAGAAAAATTTCAGGCTCTTTTTAGCTAAAAGCACAATTCCTTTCAGTAAGAGTAAACCTAAAAGCATGAAAAGCTGAACTACTATGAAGATGGGAGTAGAGGTAGGAAAACAAAATGCATGGGTCAGGTAGAAGTGAATCCTCAAAAGTGGTATTTTTGCCCGGTGCAGTGGTGAACATCTATAAGCCCAGTACTCAGGAGGCTGAGGCAGGAGGAGCCAGAGTTCTGGCCAGCCTAGACCATACAGAGATCCTATCTCAAAAACAAAACAAAACCAAACAGCTGGGCATGGTGGACCATGCCTGTAATCCTAGTACTCAGGAGGCTGAGGCAGGAGGATCACTGAAACTTTGAGGCCAGCCTGGGCTACAGAGTGAGTTCAAAGATAGCCTAACTGCATAGCAAGAGCCTGTCTCAAAATATCAAACCAAGGGGCGGGGGATATAGCTCAGTGGCCCAAGTGCCTGCCTGACGAGCACAAGGTCCTGAGTTTGATTCCCAGCACAACAAACAAACAAACAAACAAAAACTAAACAAAAAAAACCCAAAGTAGTATTTTTTTCACAATTTTTTCAATCATGTATTGTCATGAACAGCTGCTCAGGTTACAAGAAAGGATGGTTAAGAAACCTGAGAAAGCAAGACACGAAGCCTGCTAGGGAAGGTGAACAAAAGGTGGCTTTTTTTCTTTCAGTACTGGGGGTTGAACCCAGAGCTTTGCCCATGCTAGGTAAACACTCTACCACTCTATCACTCTACCACTTGTTAAGCATGTGTTCCAGCTCCCCACAACAATCCTACATCCCCAGCTATTTTTAAATTTTTACTCTGAGTCAGGCCTGGCCCCGCTTCGAACTCGCCATCTTTCTGCCTGTGCCTCTTGGGTAGCTAGGGTTACAGATGTGTGCCACTTCCAACAAAGTCGAGATAACTGATCTCATACTGAGAAGAAACACATATACTTCAAGACTCACTTTTTCTTTTTCCTCCAACAATACAAGACTTTTGGAGGTCTATACAATGCATTTCCATACAGTTTTCTAGGAGTCCACTTTGCCCACATAAGCAGATTTTATAACAACCAACTTCTCCTGCAGATGATGGCACTTGGATTAGTGTACCTTGACGGACAATGAAATCAGAAGCTTCTCCCAATTTGCAACCTGTACCAAACAAACAAAAAAAAGCTGATGGTATTGTTCCACAACATTAGATACACCCAGCAAAAAGTCTATAGGTTCTGTGCAGCTATTAAAGATTATGTAGGTGAGCTTAAATATCACATGGTTTCTCTTACATGAGAAAACCAAAATACAAATAAAGAACAAAAAGAAGATAGTACGAAGTAGGGAGATCTTTTACAAATGGGAAGGGGATTAAGAGATGAGGGGAGAGGGGAGTTGAGGAGGAGATGAAAAAGGAACTGATATTTGTTAATCACATGTTCCAACTCCCCACAACAAATGTAATCATTATGTAATGCAAATATGTACTAATGAAAACTAAAAACTAAAAAAAAAGATTATGTAGGCTTGGGGATATAGCTCAGTGGCAGAGCACTTGCCTACCATGCATGAGACCCTAGGGTTCAATCCCCAGCACTGCAAAAACACAAAACAAAACCAATTCCCTCGTAACTGCATGCCAGCGATAACACCTATAAACACCAGCACCACCTACCTGTGTTTGTCCCACATCCTGTAGGGGCATATCCAGGTGTCACCCCAAAGCCTCACGTGCTCATAGGTGGGGCTTCTGGGAGGTGACTGGACCATGGAGGTGTGACTAGATCTGTCACACCGTGGATTAGTTCCCTGAGGAGTTTGCACCTGACTTGTTGGACAGTGGGATCTGGTCAGAAGACGAGGGTGACTGGGAGCATGGTCTGGAAGTGTCTACCTCCTCCTGTTCCTCTTTTCTGTCTCTCTGCTTCCCACTGCCGCGCCATGAACAATTCTCCTCTGCCAGGGCCCTCTGTCATGCTGCCCTGCCCTGGAACCAGCTGACTATGGACTGAAACATCTACAAACTGTGAGTGAAAATAAATCTTTCCTCCTTTAAACTGTGGATGTCAGGTATTGCATCTCAGAGATAAGAAAGTAACTAAGACACACCTACACCCACCTTGAACGCAGGAGTATGGAAGGCAGGGCTCTCCAGATGGACACCCTTTCCGGTTCACTTCACAGAGCTCATGGGCTGGACAAGGGTTTGGGTTACAGGGATGAGTCACTTCTTCCACAATGTTACCTAAAGTACTGGGCCCTGGAAAAAAACAAAACGGATCAGTTTAACCAACTTGAAAGAGAGATAAATGTCTGTAAATTATCTAAATTAATTACAGTGGCAATAAGTGCTCATAGGCATAAATGAGGCCCGATTCGAATACACTATTAAAACATTTAGATTCTTTCATAATTTGTGAATTTAGTATAAAAACACACGCATTCATTTATTTAGCTGGTACCTACAACATGCCAGGCAAGGTTCTAGGCACCAGAGATATGTGGATGAGCAAAGCAGACGAGTCTCTAAGGTGAGCGTTCATGTCTGGCAAAGAAACAGACAACAAATACACTGTAACAAATACCCTTTAACTATAAAATTAAAGTAACTATAAGTAGTGTTACAGGATGGACAGTGATAGGTATATTTTGGATATGGTGATAAATAGTTGTTTACGTGTAAGAGGGATAATTTAGTGTGCTTAATTATAAATGATAATTTATTATGGTAATACCATACCATCATTATATGTAACTTCTGAAATTATGACTAAGGAAGAATCTCACTAAAGATAAAATATGTGTGATATTTAAACAGTACTGAAATTCAAATAAAATTCTTTAATTTTCCTCATGTTGAAAGTTTCCTTCTAATAAATAATAAAAATAAATAAACCAAGAATGGTGAGTTAATTTAAAACAAAGTTTCCTTCTATACATATATTTGACTGTTGCAATACTCTAGGATTGTGAGTATAATCATTTTGTTTATTTAATTTTAGGCCACACTGAGACTCTAGCAGAGGCAAAAGGGCTCTTGGAGTTATCTCATCCAGCCCATTCAATCCACAAATGGAAAATCTGAGGCTCAAAGAAATGATTTGCTCAAACTCACAGAGGTCTAAATTCCAGTCTAATCCTCTCCTTTTTGCTACACTGGTCACAAGATTAAGGGACACAGTGTTTGGTTTTAAGAAAAAAGATAGATACCACCAGCTGCAAATTCAGCATCTGCTTGCCTCTTCCTGTTTACTAACAGATTCTTAATTTTACTTAGGATGGCAATGGACCCCACAGCTAAAGACAATCTCTCCCAGTTTTCCACATAACCAGGAGTAGCCAATGAGACTAAGGAGTTGTTTACTTTGCTCCTTTCCTTTTGCATCTGGAACTATAGACAGGCAGAACTCCAGTAGCCACGCTGTGCTAATATGAATCCATTAAGTAAGGAGAGTGGAGAAAGAAAAAAGGAGCCTGGATTCCTCATGCTGCAGCCACCATTACAGCCCTGGACTATTTGTTTTTGTGCTTTCTTTCAGTTTTATCTGCTGTTCTGTAATTTGCAGTTGAATTTAATCCTGACACAGGAAAAGAAAACAAGTACCATAGAAGTTGACTTTACCAGTCTCCTACCTAGCGAGCTCATCAAACTAATGCCCCTGCTGGCAGCCTAAACATTCCCTTCTCTTACCTGCGGAACATACAGCTTTAGTTCTACATGTTACCCCCTGGCCTCCACTACATCATCATACTGCTGCCAAGAAGCTCAGCTCCCAAATCCCTCGACAAGATACCAACTTGCTCTGCAGCTCTGGGCAGGGGTGTGTGGCAGAGAAGCTGAAGCGGTGGCATAAATTCCATTTCCTTGTATTAACACAAGACCATCCCTCTTTACGGTCTTTCTGTGCAAATCAAGCCTGGCTCCAGTACACAGATATGCTGATGATGACAAAAAGCTGGATACTTCCTGGGGGAAATTCTGGCTTCTGGTCACCTCATGGCAAGGAGACAGCATGATATATGAGAGTGCTGGCCCCTGATTCACTGGTTGGAATTTCTGATTGCTAACAGTTCACACCTCCTCACACTAATCATTTCTGCTTACAGATTTTAGGATGACAATACTTTCTTGAGCCAAGAAAACCAAATGAGAGTCTGGGACTGATTCTGGGCGTGGTGGTGTACATCTGTAATCCCAGCAGTCTGAAGCCTGAGGCAGAGTCCAGCCTGGGCATTTTAGTGACTTAGCAAAACCCTGTCTCCAGGTAAAAAAGCTGAAAAGAAGGGCTGGGATGTAGCTCAGTGCAAAAGCCTTGAGTTCAATCTCCAGTACCAAAAAAAAAAAAGTGAGTGAGATGGTTTTGTTGAACCACATGTTCTCAACAGATAGAGAGGATAGAGATTATGAGAAAAGTATCTGAAACCTAAAGTCAAACAAAAGCAGTACTTACTGAGGTATGTATCTAAGGGTATACAATTCTCTAGGTCATCTGCAGGTGACAGAAGCTCACAAATACTTTCAGCTGTGTGGTCTTCGGGAAATTTGTTTTGGTCTCCACATTTTTCAAGAATCTCCACACAATCTGACCTTAAAAATAAAAATGCACACAGGTTTAGGGTTCAAGGAACCACCTCATGTTGTCTAGTTAAAACCATTTGTTTTTAAAACTTTCCAAAAAGTGAGTTTCTTCCCTGACCCCACCTTTGTTTTTTAAGGCAGGGTTTTGCTATGTAGCCTAAGCTGGTCTTGAACTTGTGACAATCCTCCTGCTTCAGCCTCCCGAGAATGGGGATTTACAGGCATGCACTACTATGGATGGCTGGAAAGTGTTCTCGTAACTTAGTTGTGTTTTGCAATCAGCTAGGTCTAAGTATGTGAAAGAGAACAGGACTCACAGTGAACCTGGGCTAACAGGAAATTCAAAGCAGCCTACACTTTTTCTTATCCGACATCAAAGGCCTGGCTTCAGTTTTATACATATACCTACTGTTCCTACCATCGATGCAGTTTTCATCATCTTTGAAAGGAAATTAGACTAGTCTGATTTGATCTTTGCAAAATCATATATCCTTACTTTCAAAACCCTATGCTTGTTTAATTGCTTCCTTTCCACCTCCTTTCTTTTTCTCTTTTTAAATTATCTTTTCAGTTATTAACACCAAGGTGTTGGCTACGGCAAAGTCCACCCCTTTAAAGTTCTCGGCTCTTGAACAGGGACTTTCTTCTGTGCTGAGTCTGTTTCCTGCTTGTTGCTCCTGCTTCTCACCCAACAGTTGTATCTCGGTATCTCCGTTAGCACAGGGTGTCAGAAAATAGGCCTAGACCTTGTTTAAAGTTCAAATAATCTGAAAGGAGTCATCAAGTACCCAGCAATATTTAAGCCAGATACCATAAATTTAGGAGCTAAATACTAATTTGGTCTTAGAAAAGCTTTTGGGGAAAAAAAAAAAAAGCTTGAATAACAGCTGACAAAGATTACTAAGCAGTTAAATACTTTCGGTTTCACCCGCCAGAGGACTCCCATCTTCACTTTACCCTAGATTTCCTAAGCAAACCATTCTGACTAGAAACAGGCCCTAAGGATGCATGCATGAGCTCACTCGGCAAATATGCATCGGATCTCTATTGCATGACAGGATTAGGCTAATATTTGAAGAGGAGAAAAAGAGGAAAGACAATAAAAGTAAAAGGACACAAAGAAGAATAAACCCCTTAAAGAGCAAAATCTAACAATATAAAACAAGTACACACATTAAGACACAAAAATAAACACCGTGTCATGGTGCACGCCTGGAATCCCAGCACTCTGGGAAGCTGAGCAGGAGGATTTCAAATTTCAGCCCAGTCTGGGCAATTTAGCGACTTAGCAAGACCCTGTCTCAAAATAAAAAATAAAAAGAGCTAGGGATGCAGCTCACTGTGAAGACTCTGAGTTCAAATCCTGTGTACCACAAAACAAAAACAGAAAAATCAAAACAAAAAATTGCATAGAGTTGCACATTGAAGATACTTAGTAAATGTTTCTTGAACTAAACTCCAAAAGAAAGTACATTTTAAAGGTCTATAGGAATTTGTACTAAGGATAAATTATTACGTGCTGGGGAAATCTGAGACGACTCCACAGGAATGTCTGGTATTTGACAGCAGCTAACAGGAGCCTGCAGTGAGCAAGCGGATATGGAGGAAACAGCAATGTAAGCAGAGGAGGGAAAAGTGGGAAAGCATCTGACAAGTGGAAGGTGATAGGGAAAGGGAAATGGGCAGAAACAATAGTAAAGACAGGCTCTGGGTAGAGAACCAAACCTGGAGAGTCTTGTTTGCAAAATATAGAATGAAAGAAACTTACTTGCAGATAATGCTTCCCCGAGATTTACTGTGACAGGGCTTAATCTGCAGTGAGCAAGCTATTGCTTTCCACATCTCCGGCTGGCACTTCTTAATATCAAGAACAGGGATGTTGATAAATGGCATCTTTATACTTCCTTTCTCCCACAGCTTCATGTCATTCACGGCTCCTTGATCTGACTGAGCATTACAACTCCTGAAAAGTTCTGTTGGTCTTAAAAAAAAAAAAAAAAAAGGAACCAAGTGGCAATCAGCAATTATGCTCTAGAAAAAAGCAATGCATGTTTCCTTTCTAACAGAGGTTTCTGTGAAGCAATTTAAAACTTCACGAAGTGCTGGGCATGGTGGCGCACTTCTGTAATCCTAACACTCAGGAGGCTGAGGCAGTAGGATGGCTGTGAGTTTGAGGCCAGCCTAGGCTACACAGTGAGTTCAAGACCAGCCTAAATTACAGAGCAAGATCCTGTCTCAAAAAAACAGACAATATAAATACACGGCAATTTGTTTACTCTGGGGGTTCTCAAACTTTGATCTCAAGACTCACTTACCTTCTTAAAATTAATGGGCTGTTGCTGGTGTGATGGCACACACCTGTAATCCCAGAACTCTGGGAGGCCAAGGCAGGACAACCGCGAGTTCAAGCCTAGCTTAGACAAGTTGATGAGACCGTGTTTCAAAGTAAAAAATTTTAAGAAGGGCTAGAGATGTAGCTCAGTGCAAAGGCCCTCGGTTCAATCTTCAGTACAGCAAGAAAAAAAAAATTTTGACACATTATGTTTCATTATATTATGCAGCTGGAAGTATTTTCCACTTTCTTTTACGATTTCTTCTTTGGCTCACAGATTATTTAGAAACACCTTTTTAAACAAAATGCTTCTAAATAATTCAGTAGTTAAATTACCGAATATTTTGAAGCCTTTCTATATATTTTATTTTCATTGATTTCTTAATTTTCTTACTCAAACTAATAGTTTGAATACTTTTAAATGGACACTGTATTAACTTGAAGTAAATACTACACAACAAAAGCACTGAAATCTTTCCTCTGGCCCAACTGAATGATTCTCCTCCCCTCTGCTCTCTGGATCTCTGAGGAGCAATTCATAAAACCAGCCACTTCTTTAGAAACCAGCCCTCGCTGGCTTCTCTCATAGAGTTCTAGTCTGTGTCCTGAACGCCTCTTTTCTGTTTTCTTCATTTTTCCTCAGCCATTAACTAGAGATACGTTCAAGACCTAGTTCTTAGCTCATTACTTACTAGTTACCTTAAGAAAACACCCATTTGAATTGCTTCTGTAATGAAATTTTTTTTTTTTTTTTTTTGGGTTTTTTTCTCCGGTACCGGGAACCGAACTCATGACCTTGCACTTGCCAGCCAGGCGCTTTGCCACTGAGCTAAATCCCCAGCCCCTGTAAAGAAATATTTTTGTATGCAATGTGAGTCACTGAGCAGAACCCTCAACCAGTCTGAAGGTCTTTCAAAGCAACCTGTCTTCAGAAGGACATCGGGATGGTCTAACAGTGCACGAGTATTTATTCCGCAGTGAACTGTTTTCCCTAGTGGTGGGACAGAAGCAAGAAGGGACTGAAGGCAGCCTCTGAATTCCAGAAGATCGAGGCATCTCCAGGTTAGAAAGAGCTCTGTAACGGTACTTCCTTTGCCAGAGGCAATTTACCACATGGAAGATAACATTTAAAGATGAAATCACCAAAAAAAAAGTTTTTTTTGGGAAGATAGTATTGGAGATTGGGCCTTTACACTGAACTATGTCCCCAGACCTTTTTTCTTTCTTATTTTGAGACAAGGTCTTATTAAGTTGCTAAATTGTTCAGGCTACGCTTGGACTTTTAATCCTGCCTCAGCTTCCCAAAGTTCTGGGATTACAGGCATGTACCACTGTGCCCAGCCTCAGTTTTCTTTTAATCCAGCAGGAATAAAATCAAGAGTAAAATGATGTTTTCATTTATTTAATAACCACATAATTAATTATAAAATGTTTCTATTACATGCACAATTTATTCCTACCTGTTATTAAAATTAGTACAGTAAGTAAGATTTCTACAGCCCAACTGGCAAGGCTCCCGGACATCTGCTAGACAGGCCAACATGGGCACCTCCGCTGGGTTATACTCGCAAGAGCGGTCGAACTCTTGCCAGCTCTGTGTATTGCCCCAGCTCATGCTGTAAAGTTTGGTGCACAGTTCCCTGAAACAAAAGCATTGTTAAATATATACTTTGGAACAGAAAGCACAAAAATGACCATCTCCTAGAATCTAGAACCAGAAAATGTGATCTTTTCCATGAACAAATGACCTTCTTTATCATCTATCTTTTTCCCTTTTTGCCATGGCTACTAAAATGTTCCCTGTTAAATTTAATGTTCAATTATGGTATTTGTACACCCTTAATTCTTGGCACAATTATCTCCCCCTATATCCTTCTGATCTCTTTTTCATCTGTGCTTAAAGTAAAGGACCAGGCTTTGCCTCTACAAAGGTATATCCCCTACAGTTATGTTCAATCACAGCTGGCAAAAGTGCACACAGTCCTCAGGTTACTTTCAAGAAGCATTAGAGGGGCAGCGGGTGGAGCTCATGGTGGTGTGTGCTTAGGATGTGCAAGGCCTTGAGTTCACTCTCCAGCAAAGGTGGAGAAGGAGGTGGAGGGAAGGGAGGGGAACAGGGAGTGGGGTGGGTGGGATGTTGAGGAAGAGGGGTGAAGAACTGTAGATTTCAAGGTTACTATTTTCTCCCTATAAAACTATCCCCAAGCCACTCGTATTCCTTAAGAAATTACAAAGCCTCTATACATAATTGTAATTGAGGTATTTTTATTTTCATTCATGATTACAAAGCAACTCAAGTGTGTATATAGTTAAAACAACACACCATTTCCAAAGTGTTTTCATACTCAATATTCATTAATTTATTTTCCTTTATAAAAGTAATAGATGTTCACTATAGACAATTTTATTAATTTTTATTTATTTATTTATTTTTGTCTTGTTGAGGTAGGGTCTCACTGTGCAGTTCGGGCTGGCCTTGAGCTCACTTTGTAGCCCAGGCTGGTCTAGAACTCACAATGATTCTCCTGCCTCAGCCTCCCGAGTGCTGGGATTACAGGCATGTGCCACCACGCCTGGCCCCTATAGACAATTTTAATATTATTGAAATATATAAAGTCACAAGTCAAAATTGCCCACTCTTCTCACATTTTATTTGACTCTCCTAACTGCCCATACCACAAGGGTATCGTCACTGTTATGTTTATTCAGTCACTCTACCAGTGTTTCCTGAGTGTCTATTTTATGAGTGCTCGCTGAGGGCACAGAAATGCAGTGGTGAATAAAATAGATAAGGTTCCTGTTCTCAACAAAGTTTAGAATGTATGAGGGTAAGCTCAGCTCAGGCTACATCAGGCACCTCTATCTGGAAACCAGTACTTTCTCTGGCCCTTAACTTTCTATATTTAGCTTGAACAGGTTATATAACATCTCTGAGTTAGTTTCTTACATGTAAAACCGAAATGACACAAATTTCCCAAATTATCACATAAGGTTCCATGATGATTATACCTGATTAAAGTGAAAGCACTTACCAAACCATGAAACTTTATTTCAAGGTAAGGGTGAGAAAACACTGTTTTCTCACTGAAGGACCTCTGGGACAATACAGCCATTTCAATCTCTGGCAACTCTTAAGCAGGCATAAATTCTACAATGGGCAAAGAACTGCTCAGTAGCCCTCTTGTTAATGTATTTATTAACTTCTATAAGCAACCCAACTTCCATAATTACATAGCCAACTTAATTTCCCTTTATGTCCATCTACTAATTTTCTTCAGATGTTTTCTATATCCTTGACAAACTGATGAACCATTACAGGCACGACTTTTTTTTTTTTTTTTTTTTTTTTTGCTAAAGGTCCATCAGTTTAGAAATACAGGAAAGGCTGTTCACTCCTAGTACCTTATATGTACTTCAGGATATCCTACTAAAAAGTGGACCCTTTCCAAGCCGAAAGTCTCTAATAAAGCGAACTTCTATTTCTTCCATTTTCTTTCCATTTTAACACCTTGACCTTAGGTATCTCCACTTCTTATCTCTAGACTGCATTTTCTCCATCAGATATGTGTGTACGTATCATATACTTTGTTCTGTATTGTTTTTTGAGACAGGGTCTCATTATGTAGTTCTGGGTGGCCTTGAACTCACTATGTAGCCCAGTTAGCTTCAGACTCAGGGCGATCCTCCTGTCGCAGCCTCCTGAGTGCTAGGATTATAGGTGGGTGTCATGATGCCTGGATCCTCTATCCTATATATTTTTATTGTTAATTTTTTAGCCCCTTAAGTGTAACAGACAAATGAATAACAATATACCAACAAATAACTTTAGATATAACTGCCAACCCATTATCTGCAAATATATCAAAATGTTGGTTAAGTTTAAAGTTTCTTAATTTAATAAACAGAATACCCTAAGATATCAGATAAAAACATCTTCTAAATTATAAGCTTACCTAATGATCTCTTTGATGACAGAATATTATCTTTAAATATTTATTGTCCTGCCAATGTTAATTCTTCACATCCCAAAACAGTGTTTTTAGTACTCAATGTTCAAAACAATGTTTTAGTAAATATTTGCTGGACAAAATAATTAAAAATTTTAACAATACCTTTTTAAAAATGGTTCTGGATATGGAACCAGGGATCTGTGCACACTAAGTAAGCTCATCTCATCCTCAGAAAGAATCATTTTTTTTTTTTATTATTTAAAAGAATAAAAAAAGGACAACACAGTAATAGGGGGATTTACCAAATTACAGACAAAGTGGTAGGACAATATCAATGGTTCTTATTTTACCTATTGGTTATCTTCAAGATAGTTTCTCAGGAAAACAAATAGACAAATAATAGTGAGTTACAGACAAAAATGGTAGGAAATTATCAATGGTTGTTGTACTATATTTTGGTTTCTTCAAAGTGGTTTCTAGGGAAAACAGCTATACATGAGTGATCAATTAAATAATCATTGACTATTCTCAATGGTTGTTGTTGAAAACACATAGTAATAAACATAGGAACAACGAAATAGCATTGGAACAAAATTTACAAAATAGCATAGGAACAATAGAAACATTACAGAGTTATGGACAGATCGGTAGGAAATTATCAATGGCTGCTGTAATACATGTTGGTATTTTCAAAGTGGTTTCTCAGGAAAACAAAGATATGCAAGAAAAATCTAACAAGTAGTTACAGCCTAAGGGTTGTGAAAAATAGCAGATTACCTCCTTCACAGTGACTCCTTTCACTGAGGTGTGACAGCTGGAAGGAAGGCCAGGATTGAAAGGAAGGACTAAACATTTTGTATCTTCTAAACACTAAGCCTACACAATGCAAGAATATACCACATATTTGCTAAGCTTAAAAGGATTAATTAAAATGCTATTTTTCTACTGATTTTAAAAAGGAGATACTGACCTACATGTTGAAGTGTTTGCTTTAGAACAACAATGCAATTTAGCACCATCAAGGCCAGTAGAGGGAGGAGGGTGCACGGTGACTCCAGGGTGGACAGACTGTGAGCTTTCAAGAAAGCACTGCCAAAGAGGATCCTGAGGCAAGGGTTGAGTCTTACAACCCTCGATGAGACCATCAACAATCTCCATTTCTGTTTTCTTAGACATCAGAATTCTCTTGCAGGCATTTTGGCATGCATGGTCTTCAGCTCTGTCACAGCAATACAAACCTACATTTTTAGAATTTAAGAGGCAGTTTTATGTGATGCATTGATCAGAAGAAAACATGGCAGTACAGTGGAAATCACTGCTGTTTTATACCCCTAACTGCAGTTTTATACCCCTAACTGCAGTATATGGGTCTATTAAATACTCTTTATTACTCTGCATGTAGCAAACAGGTGAGGAGCTAAGGTGGACAAAGTACCTATCACCAGAACTTACCCTGGTCCCCAGTCATGGGCCCTCTAGCACTATCCTTACAAAAGTGCAAAGTCATTCTATATCTAAGAAGTTCTCATGTGAAAGGTATCTGAAATTCTTGAAAAAGGTATTACTGTATACATCAAAGTGAACGTATTTTCTGCTAGCCACAAATGTCTAAAAGGGATTATGTTCTTGGAAAAATGATTAATTTTTATAGCAACAAAAACACTGTATTCTGTCATATTCTAAGACAGAATGAAGCTTTTTATATATCTGTGTAAGTTAACTACTCTGTATTATAATTTAAATAATATAAAGCAAACTAACAAAATACTGGTTTGCTTCTGCCTTTAACATTCTTCTCATAGTGGTGCTGGGGACAAACTCAGAGCCTCGTGCATGCTAATAAGCACACGCTCAAACACTCAGCTAAAACCCCAACCCTCTGCCTTTAATTTCTACAAAGAGGCAGAAAATGAAAGAACACCTTCAATCAGACTATACAGTTCGGAAGAGGTCCTTCAAAGTATTATCAGGTATCTTGGATTTTTGAAGGAACCTTTCAGGTTGTACTCTTCTTTTCCAGATTCATCTGTATTAGCATAGACATTAGAGATCCCCGTTGCTCTATTCCTAAAACACCACCACTCTCCCCCAACTATGAACTCCTTAGCTCCACAGCACCCCTGTTAGGACCACAGAGCTTCCTTTCAAACAAACAAGAATAAAAAAAAATAATAATAATAACTAAAGGGCAAATGCTCCCTTCATCCACTGATTTTCACCACACAACCACATCACATTACAAAACGTCAAAAGCCTTAGGGTTCTGATTTCCATCAGTGGCCAAATAAGGCACACTGCTTTTGAGTTCATAAAACAAGTCTCTCAGCTTTTCAGTATAGAAGTCAAACGCTGTCACTTGGCCTGTAAATCATCTTTTGTCAATTTGGTTAACCACTCAGGTCTTTAAAATCTGACTACCTCCAGAATAGATGAAGAAAACAGAAGCACAAAGCTGTGGCTTTAAAGATTCCTGTAAGGTACACAGGTTCACTATGAGGCCCAGATTTTTTTTAAAAATGAAGGTTTCTTTTCATTTTTTAAATTATGAAGGTAATAACTGCTTTTGGTAAAAATTCAAGCATTACAGAAATATATAACATAGAACAATCAGGTTTATGGCTAAAAACGTATCACACCATAACTTTGGTTCCATCACTTTCTTTTTTTACTTAAAATATCTTGGACTTCTTTTATATCAATGTATTCCCTTTTTGTTGTTTCTGAAGTGCCACTATTATATAGATATTTCATAATTTATTTAATCAATTTTAATCAAGATCCTACTGATGAATGTTTGGGTTATTTCTAATTTGTCTGTATTACATGAATGCTGTACAATGTCATATAAATACATACAAGGTATTTCTGCAAATTTGAGTACAATTTCTTTTTTTTTTTTTTTTGGTACAGGGAATCAAACTCAGGACCTTGCACTTGCCAGGAGTAAGTTTTCTTGCTGGATAAATTCTGAGAAATGCAGTTGCTAGATCAAAAGACATGATAACTTGGAATTCTAATGGTCATTATTCAGCTTCTCCCCAAAATATCTCTATCAAAGAACTCTCTCACCCTTAAACTAGAGAATTCCCATCTCCTCATAGTCTCAACAGTCCCATCTTTCTTGGCACCTGTTGTGACAAAAATGTCTAATCTGCCAAATCTAAACACCAAAGGAAATCTGGTGTTCCCCAAGTGACTCAGACTACAGGTAGCTATAAGAATGTATCTCTTTCTTCTTATAAACTCTTTTAAAAAGATTCAAATGAGATGAGTATGTCTCCTTTACTTACTATCTGTTGGGTTCCTCATTGGATAGGATTGGGTATAATTGTTCACACAATGTATTAATTGTGGACTAATAGAGGCACAATAATTTTCCACTGCTTTGATCTGAGACGGACCAGGAGAAGAATCTGTTCGGAAAATGGCTTGACAGTATTCACGGCAATTTGTGTGATGACCTGCGTAACTGCAGCATACCGAACCCACTATGGGAGGAAAAAGAGATATCACTCAAGTTATAACAGCATTTTGTTAATAATAAATCACCATCATAAAGACAGAACAGTGTGTCTTTCTAAACCTAAGAAATAAAATCGTGCTCTAGAAAATAAACACTTAACATCAGCACTACTGTAGGTATGGCTGTGGGGTCAGTTGAGGGGTCACTGATACAAGGAAAGCATCATCCATCAACTTTTAGAGTTCAGTGATTCTGCACAGCACAGTGTCACCACTGGAAGAATTTGGAAGTATTTCTGGTTGTTGTGATGATTTAGGGACTGTGTTTGTTGTTTAATGCATGGGTGTCAGGGCTGCTTAAAGATCCTTCCTGTTCTGTCCAGGACAGTCTTACACAACCAAACCGTCTCCCAAAATGCTAAGAGTGCCCCACTGAGAATCACTGAAACAGCTTCCTTCCATATTACATTTGTAGAGTTTATAACTAAGAAAACAAACAATACCAAAATAAAACAAAACTCCAAATGCCTCACATTTATAAAGGAGAACTAGTAAAAACGAAGATACATCAGACACAGAATAAGTTTGACAAATATGTAACTATGTATCTTGAAACAAAATCCTAAAACTTCTATACAGTTTGAACATTTACAAGAATATGCCTAAATTGGGATACTCTACATTTAACAAAGGATATGATCTACTCCCATACTGAAAAGTAAAGCTCAGTTGAAACAAATATGCCTGGATTTATGTGTTTAAAAAACCACCAACGGGCTGCCATTTAAAGTATATGGGGAGAGGGTGATAAGCAGTTGGGAGGGCAGTGTGGAAATCATAGTGAAGAAGACCAAGAGATTCTCACAGGAGTCTGCAAGGGTCTGCGGAAGGCTGCAGAAAGACACAACAGATGTGCAGCAGGTAAGAATTCCTGGATAATTATTAGAGATGGCTGCTACGGAACTCGAATTAGGCTTCTGGTGACTTCCAGGAATAATGACAATGATAATCATATGTAAATGAATGGATGTAGGATAAGCCTGAGTCTCTAGGACCAGGAAAAGGTTCCGTCCCTATTGTGCCGCTTGATTTTGTTTTGTTGTTTTTGTACCGGGAATCAAACTCATGACCTCAGGCTTGCCAGGCAAGCGCTTATGCCACTGAGCTATATCCCTGGCTGTGCCACTTGTTTTTAACGTGCAAGACCTACCAAACTTACTGTGCCCACTTTCAAAAAGTTTAATCACAGAACAGTTTTGTGTGTGTGTGCGTGTGTGTGGCACCAGGAAAAATAATCAAGTACCTTGCACATGCAAAGCAAGCAGTCTTCCACTAAGCTATATTTCCTGTCCCATGAAGAACAATTATTTATGGCTACATTTACTACTGCAAACCTCAGTGAGGATAACCTAGTAATGGTAGTGGGGTATGGTGAAGACAGAAGAGACAAGCAGAAAAGGACCCGATGCCTATCTTCACATTGCCTCACTAGGACGGCTTCCTCACCAGTGTAGCAGGACATAAGACTACTTACCAGAGACTATCTGAAAATCTTGAACTATGTCCCACTTAGAAAGGATAAAAGATAAAGTATAGACAGCTAATGTTTATTGTCCTTCGAGATAAGCCTCCTGCCAAACTAATTTAAACAACTATTTGTTCCTCGGTTGTACCTTCCCATCTCTAAATGCCTCACTATTCCTTTCACTTGGAGTGCCCCTCCTCAGATCTCCACCGTTCTCATACAGTCTGCCCTTCAAGGCCCAGCTGAGCCACCAACCGCAGGAAGTCACCTCTCCACACCCTTGCAGGAAGTGACCCTTCCTTCTTCCGAATGGCTCCAGTGTGCTACCTCATAACCTACCACGTCCTAGAGTTCTTGAGAGTACAGGTCATGTTCCCCAAAGCTGTGGGTCTGCCGCACAATAAGCAAATACTCAATGAAGGTCTTTTAAACGAACTGAGAGGCAGCCCTTGGCAAGTGTACATTATGCTTAATCTCTGAAAGTGGTCCTCATATTAGTGTGTTAGTATCTTCCTCTAGCACATCTAGCTCTTGTGTCTGCTCTGTAAATCTGAAGTAGGAAGTAGGAAATTAGAAGTAGGAACTGTGACAATACACGAATGACTTGAACACCCCAGAGGAAAGAGCTCAACTGAATTCTGCATTGCACATTCTTTCAGATGGCTTATTAACAGCCTAAGTTACAATGCCAGATCTTGGCAGTATTTGTAACAGCTAATCAGGTTCTGTAAACTGTGTTGCTCTTTGTACAACCACCAACAATGTACTTACTTTCATTTCTGCTAATGCAACTGAAAAGAGCATTCTGCAAATTAAAGAAAAAACAAATAAACAGAAATTAACAACCAGACAAAATTTCCAATTTTATTCCATTTTATGGTTACATGGAAATCAGGATATCAAACTGTAATTTTTCTCTAAGTTGAAGGTTAAAGACACAGAAGCTATAAAATGACCAGCAAAAAGGGAAAATATCTTCTAACACATATTGGGGATCATGATGATTATCACGAGCTATAAGCTTACCATCTTATCACAAACCAAATTTATATAAGCTTTATCAATGTGAGTGTGTGTATGTTATAATGTATCATGCTCCATCATTTCTTTTAAGATATAAAACATTTTCCAGAAAGCATTTTAATCAAAAACATTTAAGGAAATTTTATATATACCACTGCATTTTAGAGCCAAAAGGATCTCAGAGTTCATCTTTAATGGTTATAAACTTGCACTGGAGTCACCTGACCTTCCCAGACTTTCTAGACTAAAAAGTGTCAGAATCTGGGCTTGGGACCCAGAAACCTAAAGTTCAAACAAGGCTTTAGATATGGTTCTTTTTCAGGCTTCCTGAGACCAGAATTTGGGAATCTCCCTACCATTTTACAAATGAAGAAACCATTTCCTCAACAGGGCAAAGAGACCCACCCCTGATCACAGAACATGTCAAAGGCACAGCCTGAGATTAGAATTAGTTTCTAGAATCAGATTACGATGTCACCCTATATTAAAGTCACTGGAAGGAAAATAAAAGGAAAACAATTTGAAAGTGAAAAAATCCTTTGTCCAAAGCCACCTAGATAGTCAAGGTTTTTCAGCTGTTAATGATTAATACCATTAGTAACTAAAAGAGGATGGGTTTTTAAAACAGACAATATAGGCATAAAAGGATGTATGGAAATCAAATGCATATTTATTTTAGTTGAATCAAGATGATATTGGCTTTTAATTGTAGCTCAAACCTAAAGCAGCTAAGTGATCTGCACTTTAAAGGACCAATTTTACTAACACTGAAAACCTAACTTCAAAGATCCATCTAGTAGCTGGAAGAGCTATCCTGAATTCATTTTCTTCAGTAAGTAATATTCCACTGTAGAAATAAGTTACATATAATTTATTCACTTAAAGCAAAACAACATTTAAAAAAAAATCTCTGAGCCTCATAAATAAAGACTAATGAACTCATCTAGACCAAACCTTCTGCTGGGGGTGTCAAACAATAGAAGTAAAAATATAAACAAGATCAATATTAAGGAACGCTATTCACCCATATTTCCTTGTTTAGTCTGACTGTTCAGCTGCCCATTTCTAGACAGCTTCCACCGGGATTCACTGGACCCAGAAGCACTTGTAACTCATCTGAACTGTTCCTAAGTAACAGCCCTCCTACCAACTCTCTCCCTTTGAAGAGATGAATGTGACTCTAAATGACCTTCTCATTCTGATAACCTAGCTGCTCCTCTTGGTTTTTAACTTTTTTGACTTTGTGCCTGAAAGAGTACGTTTATTATTGTACTGGCTGTCCTGGGGTACATGGTCTAATCTGCACTTTCGTGACTCTTCTAGACATTCTGAAAGTCCCTAGAGCATGGGCTCTCAACCACGAGTGAAGCTGCTTTCCAGGGGACATTTCGCAATACCTAGTGACACTGCTGGTTACACGCACTGTAGCGTTTTTGTGATTAGCGTTCTATAATATACACAACAGCTCCCCTTAGCCCCCAAACAAAGGAGTGTTCAGACCAAAATGCTAACAGCACCAAGTCTAAGAACCTCTGCCCTACAGATTTACAAGTTTATTCAAGCTGGATTTCTAAAAATTTCAACTTACAAATAGAAAAAAAAAGTCACTCTCTGCTGGATCACTTAGCTTAGGAGAGACATTAAACAAAACAAAACCTGAGAAATATGAGAGATCATCTAACCCAACTTCCTTATTTGATAAGTCAGAGACTAAGGTCTAGAAAGGGAAATATCTATGGACTCCAGCATCCACTCATAATCAGTTGATAAACCATGGCATATAAGCCAAATCTTGCCTAACACCTGTCCTTCTAAATAAGACTTTATCAAACACTGCCACACCCAATTGTTCACGTACATCTACTTCACACTACACATGCTATAACAGTCAAGCAGACAGAGATTATATAATCTGCAAGCCTAACAATATTTGCTCTTTGTGCCTTTGCAGAGTCTGTCAGCTGCTGAAGAAAATGGAAACAGCTGCTTCCTTTGATGTTGCATCCAGAGTTCAGAGATGTCCCCCAAGCAGTTCTCATTTATTTTAATGTTTACTGATAAACCTTCCATGCACAAGTGAACCTCAATTTGTTGAACGAAAAAAGTTTTATACTTTTAGTTGGCAGCACCTTCAGTGTTAATAAAGACCATTTTTACATCTTTACCCATTTTAAGTTTTAAAAGAATGTTCATACTAGTACACTGATAATTGATGAGTTAATCATCAATTAACTCATCATGATTTGACCTGTCTTGATTTTACAGACTGATCCTATTCCCTGCTTTGATGAAAAATTCCTAAATTTACTATAAGAAACTCTATTTTTTCACTGTTTAAACTACTGTTGATTAGTTGACAGGGTTTAAAATATATGTGGATTCCCCGCCTCCTGCTGTAGACAGAAGGGCTTCTGCCTTGTCTCTAAAACCAGTAGGAATGGGAAGGGATTATTGAATCTTAATGAGTTTGTATCTGTGATGATTTACATATAATGAGTTACAGCAATAACTTTGTTTCTTTTTTATTTCTAGACAGGGTCTTGCTCTGTAATTTAGGCTGGTCTTGAGTTCACTGTGTAGGCTGGCCTCAAACTCGGAACTCGCTGCAATCCACCTGCCACTGCCTCCTGAGTGCTGGGTTTACAGGCCTATGTTACCAGGCCTGCTGCATTAACTATTTCTTTGCTGAATCAACCCTGCAGGTTTTTTTGTTTTTTGTTTTTTTTCCCGGTACTGGGGATCGAACTCACGACCTTGTACTTGCCAGGCAGGCGCTGTGCCACTGAGCTAAATCCCCAGCCTCAACCCTGCAGTTTTAGTAGTTTTAAATCTTTCACAGATCTGAGTGCCATCTGGTGGCAAAAGAAAGAAGTAACTGAGGGTTTACATTCATTTGTTTAGAGCCTCTTTTGACCTGCTTATCACACCCAGTCACCTTATTTGAAACAGGTTAAAACTACAGTGGTATCAAGGTGAGGATGGACCATATTGCAGAGACCCAAAGACACGTCTGCATGCTGGAGGATGACAAGATCCCAAAAGAAGGTAAAATCCCAAAGCATTCACTATCCAGAGGGAGCCAGGTGTAAAAGTAAGCAAGGGGGGGCCAAGGACATCGCCAGCAGTACAGTGCCTGCCTGGCCAGTGCAAGGTCCTGAGTTTGAGTCCCAGGACCAGGAAAAAGGAAAAGAAAAAAAAAGTATATGAGGGCAGAGACAGAACTACACCCTACAATGCTCTTCCATGGCACTCTACTGGATTATTTTTCTGACTGCAGCACTTATATGAATTATGTTCATAGAGTAATCAATCTGAGCAGTCTCTCCTATTCTTTACACTAGCACTTTAGATAGTGGGGAAAAAAATTCCTGAAGTTAATGTTATTTTCCCTAAAATATTTTTGATCCTAAAGTCTTTCCTCAGCCACTTTCAATAACCAGTTCCCTTCCCCATTCCTACTGGTTTTAGAGACAAGGCAAAAGCCCTTCTGTCTACAGCAGGAGGCAGAAAATCCACAGGCAAACTTGGCAGAGAGAAAGAGAGATATGGAGTGGAATCAAAGTGAGGGAACTCACCACCCTGACCTTCCTTCAAGACCCTATGGGTACACCTGGGAGGCAGACTTTGCTGGTCCAGCTTCTACTCCACAACTTAGTTCTACAGGTTCACTTTCAGTCCCAGCCCAGCTCAGTAACGTCTTTGTAACACTTTTCCATTTGTCCACTTGCTTCAATTCTTTTTCTGTTCACTAGTCACTTCAGCTCTCGCTCTCATTCTCACCAAAGGTGACAATGACAACATTGATCATATGAATCTTGTGAAAATTAAACATCTGAAGCTGAGTGTGATGGTGCACACCTATAATCCCAGAACTTGGGAGGCTGAGACAGGAGGATTTCCATAGTTTGAGGCCAGGTTGGGCTACATGGTGAGTACAAGGCCAGCCTGAACTACATAGCGAGACCCTTTGTCAAAATATGAATGAATGAATATATTTGAATTTTGCAATATTTTACTCACTTTTGGACAAAGAGCCCATTTTATGATTTATTTCTTTTTAGTACTGAGGATTGAACCTTAGGGCCTCTGCACTGAGCTACATCCTCAGAACCTTTTTTTTTTAGACAGGTTCTTGCTAAATCACTAAGTTCTCCAGGCTGCACTCAAACTTGCAGTCCTCCTGCCAAAGCCTCCTATCTCCCACACTGTGCTACCATAGCCAGTTTATGAACTGTTACTTAATGCTTTCTACGCCCAGTGCTTCCTATTTAACTAGGTACTAGTTAAAAGTAAAGGCGCAGCTCTGTCCCTAGGCATCAGTAAATAAGAATCTCTTTGCTTTTCACAAATGATTTAAAATTTTCCTCATTTTGAAGTTTTGCATTTCATATAAGGAATTCAGTTTATCAAATGCTAAACTGGAGAAGTTAAATAACAGACCTTGAAAAACAGACAGTTTTAAACCTCTACAAGGTGTTTTTTCCTTGTGGACAATATGACTATAAAAAAGCATAGGTGGGCCAGGCATGGTGTCACACACCTGTAATCCCAGCACTTGGGAGGTTGAGGCAGGTGGATTGCTGCAAGTTCGAGGCCAGGCTGGGCTATATAGTGACACCCTGTATCAAAAACGAAACAAAACAGAACAACAACCCCTGAAAAAGGATAGGTGGCTCAAATAGCTAAAAAAGCTTAGTATCATGTCCTAGATATCAATACTCAAGTGATTCTTTAATTTCTTCAGCCTCCCAAAATGAGGTCATTTCAATAGTTGCATAAAAA